ACATGACTTTTTGACAGAAAGTTTTCACAGTCCACTGCGAGAACGTGGACTCGTAGACGGTTCAAAATGACTTGCAAGCCTTGTGATGAGAACCGGTAACAATGAGACCTTGCAGTCCTGTGAGGCACAGTAGGATTTTGGGGGCTACTGGAGCAAACTTGAACAAACGCCAGACTTGAAGAAGCGGACGGATGGGAACAACCCGAATTCCAACGGATTTTCACCCGGTTTGGCTCGTTTCCCCTTTCTTACCAACAGACAGTCTGAGTCTAGCTGAACTCTCGAACAAAAGCTGTGAGGCGGTCGTTTGCTGGCCTTGTAGAGTTCAGATTTACACCACCATCGTTTGACCAGCAGTCCTCCCTTTTCTGGTGTAATTATTCTGGTGAGTCCACACCAAAGGGCGGAGTAGTCGGTCAATCGATGAACAAAACGCTTAGTGAATCGCCATTAGAGGTGACGGGCAAATCAGCCACCCCACTCAATTGTGAACACGTTTGCCAGTTTAGACGTGAAAATCCAGATGCCTCCAGTGTGTTGCTAGAGCAGTGGCAATACGCTCGCCTCGCATATCAGATGTCCAATGTTCCAATCTCGGTACAAACAAGGATATACACTCTCGATGAGCTCTAATGGAAACGAAACTCGGGTCTGGGGCTTCCTCAAGAGGAGGACTTTTCAACGACAGTGATGTGAACCTGACCTCTACAGGTTCCGCGAAAACACCCACAACTAATCAAACTATCCAGGTTTCAACTTCCGTGGGCTAACTGAGTGGCGGGTCAGTTAACCTCATGTATCTCCCATATACAACGGCGTTCACCTGAAAAGAATCAGCGAATGTTTAGCTTTCAAGCTGATTTTGCAGTATCATTGTTACCAATGATAACTTTTGTGCGTCAATTATGGAATGTAGACTAATGAGACGGATTAGTTACGGACGAAGAAACGAAGAATAACAAGTCTAAGGCAGCTTGAAAAGCATACATTGCATGTATCCACTGACTCTGCTGAGTAATAGTTCAAAGAATAACTTCCTGAGGGGAAACCACACATCCTGAGACTTTATACCAGGTTTCAGGTTGAGCTACAATCCACCTGTCTGGAAAAAATAAGAGACAATGCTTTCTTTGCTTCCTTCTTCCGTAGTGTTACTGATAGGGCGTTATAAGTCATAAGCTTCTGTCATAACACACTAAATCGTTCCTACCAGATTTTGTGAATCAATGCACAACGATCCCAAAGCTAATAACAAAAAAGATGGATGTCCCGAGTCGCTATATCGGTCAATACATTGAGGATCAATCGCGTGATTTTACGTTAATGGAAAACCAATAAAATCGATTAGGCGTTGCGTTCTTACGATGGAAGCCAGACTGGAATCACATGATACTGTAGAGACAGACAATGTCGTTTGGGATGGAAAATTAGTGACTTGAGAGAGTTATGCATTGAAATTCAAACTAGATGTTCGGAGCAGGCTACCACAACCATGCCCTCGTGACTACAAACGCGGAATAAAGCTTTGTGATTCATTCTATTGAATCGTTTTCCTGGTCTTGATGTGCTCTGGAACGTAACTTGAAAGTAGTGACCGGGTCTGCAGAGGGACCGATGATCGCAGATGAGATTGGATAAGATGCAGCTCCTGAAGACCGCCATGGCTCGTGTGTAATTCGGTCATCCAAGAGGACCTTGACAAGTCAGGATGCATACTTCGTCGCTGGTGTATCAGAGCATTTCTTAACCTCTACTTGTTCCCCCTTCCGATGTGTTTGTTTGTGGTTAAACTGGTAGATAGACTAGGAGAGTAGGATTACTGGGTCTTTCTTAGGTGAGATTGGAATACTTGCAGTTTCTTCGAAAATCCAACTGGGCGGCACTGCTCAATCCAAACGGTGCTTAATATGGGATTATCTGTCGTCTCCTACAGAAGATAAAGACAGGTACATTGACCTTTAGGCAGGTACGCTCATCCCAGCTACTTGTTCTCAGCTAGGAAACAGTTGAATTTCCTGCGCGATTCTGGCTGTTGCCGCAATACTGCATAGCCTTAGACCTACAATAGACCTACCAGGAGGGTTTCAACCAGCAGTTTCAGGGTGAATTCTTCTTTCCACAGATTGAACGGAACTCGATGGCGGATCGGTGAGAACATGAGTACAAAACCACAGACGTGTTATTTATTGACTAATTGCCAAGACCCTCATAATGCGCAGTTGACGGCTTGGGAGATAGCCTTTTCTAGTCCAAACAAAAAGCACAGGATCGATTGTCACAAACCGCCTACTCTAATTCTAGCGTCTTGCTTATCAGCATTGGGGACACTAGACCATGTTTTTACATGAGCGTCGTTTGAACAAGCTCAATTTTTCATCTATCCGCAATTCGGGTCATCCGATCCAACTGCAGTAACAGCGCGCACAGCGTTTTTTTCTACACGCAGTTTGCAGCTGTGAGAAATGACGGGAAAAAAGTCCGCTCCGTAGGCGGATATCTTTTTCACAAAATCAGTGTGGCCTTGGTGATAATACATAGGTCGATCAAATAGAGTTCGGAACAAACGCTGTCCAATGAACTGCGGTATTGGTTGATACAGTTAAGGCAGTTGTGTGATGCGAGCACGAAATGATTGCGGGTGTTTTGAACAGAAACATTTCCGGGACCATCGCCTATGTACCTGAGAAACTTTATCACCTTCGACTTGGTTTACCAACATGTTCCTCCCTGATGTAATAGTTCGTGGCACTTTAACGCTGGTTGTTCACCTTTTCTGGAATAAAACACAAGTACGATGTTAACTTTCTAGATATACTGGGGAAGATGAAATAACTACTGTGCTACAAGACCCCAGCTTGCTAGATTTTACTGCTTTGTACGATTGGGCCTTTTATCAGAACTCTTGAAGTTTTCACAAGCAGGAAGTAATATCTGACGCAATGTTGCCTGGTACATGTTTACTATGTAGTTTGGCCACCATTCTACGATTTTGGGACGCAAAACAGCCTAATTATTTCTACTCTGTCATAAGAAAGGTTATTTTCCGACAGGACAATTAACACTGAATAGTTTTCTTACGGAAAGCTGTTGTTCAGGCAAGCGGTTGAGTTTTTACCTCAATAGTCTTGGGACATTTTCTCTGTGTTAACTTACTAACCCCTTTGGTATCCTGAAGCTCAAGTGGTTGGAGCGCAAATTTACTGACCGGAAGATCCGTGGTTCGAACTCGACCTCTGCCTCTCGACTTCCCCTGTCTAGGCTTGGGCAACCTGCCAGTATTCCGGCCCTCGTGCTTCCTTCGTGTGGCATGGCAGCTAGGCACTGAAAGGGTGTTACAGCTGAACGATCCTGAAGCTTTCCACTCACCAGTTAAACAAACTAAGGAACTTCGATCGATCTTTATAGACCCCGTCTCGTAGACCGGAGTAGTAGTAGACCATGTAGTCCACACTTGAGCCGCGAACTTAAGCTATGTTAGAAGCACTGCAGGTTCTCTGCTTGGGACCTCCCGTGTAAGCCCCGTGAGGGCCCAGTGACCTTGACGACCCGCCTCCACACCTTGACAAGATTAAGTCCAGTGTGACCCTGATTACTGGGCAACGCACCTCCTCCAGCCAGGCCATTTGGTCAGTGTTTCGTGTTTCGTGCGTGTTGCTTCTTCTGCTAGCTTTTGAGATGATGTATCTTGGCCTGTATCATAAATGTGTACTCGTCCAAGGTATTTCAAGAGTACGGTAGATTTTAACAGGCTGGGAAAACCCCAAGGAATACAGCTACATCAACCGCATTGTCCACCGTCACCCGTATGTGGATTGCACATAGTTGTAATATAGTTTTGCAGGGAAAAACTTTCATAATTTGGCTTCATTAGTGGTTACAGTAATCAGTAGAGTTTAGAAGCCTCGTTTCTAGGTTGTTTTGTCAACGATTTCCACGTCCGATTTGTGTGACTGTCAAATGGAGAAACCTGGTACTTTCAGGAACTTTTTTAAAGCCTGGGTCTATCACATTAAGGGATTTAAGACGACGATCGTTCTTCTACTACTAAATAGGTGCTTGTTGCTTTAATTTCTGAGCACGCACTGACCGTGTTCTCCTCTTTGATCAGTCCAAGTAGGAGGGGTTCGCCATATGTTCCATGTGCTCCATGGGTTCCTGACATAACAAGGCTTTCGTGCTTGTTGCTTTAATTTCTGAGCACGCATTGACCGTGTTCTCTTCATTGATCAGTCCAAGTAGGAGGGGTTCACCGTATGTATCATGTGCTCCATGGGTTTCTGGCATAACAAGGCTTTTCTCCTCTGATTCTCACCGCAATTGAAACACTAGTATCCTCTCAAGCTGTGCATACGATGGCTGATTTTTTCATCCACCTCGAGGTTAACAGCAGGAGGTCGAACTTGAGATTCCCGCAATGGGAACCGAGCATGTTACCCAAGACACCAACCCGGCTAACTTATTTACGGGAACGTATAAAAGTGATGAACAATCAGAGGCAACATGCATTTGGTCTAGACTGAAAGTGACGGCTTTTCGCGCCTTTCTGGACTTTGATGAGTCATAACCGCTGCCTCCAGTGATCTCTGGTGATTAGTGATTTCGAGTGGATGGGTACGGAGAAGATAGTGGGAAATGGGGGGCTTAGCAACTGTTCGCGTACTATGCCAGCCACCTTCAAGGCAATGTTAGACAGGCAAAGGTCGACCCGTAAGCTCATAGCATCAGCGACCGAACTTTTCTAGAAACAAGCCATCAATTTGACCCTGTGCTTTCGGCGATCAGTGAAACACGACGGACCAATTACTAATAACCACACGTGTCTGTGTGTGTGTGATTAAAACCCTTGAAGCAAACTATATCAACGAAGCACCGCTTAGGTAACATTCGAATTCTTTGCGTCTGCGGCTGAGAATGCCAACATATCGCAACGTGGATCTTGTCTACGTTTTCCAGAGATGGAACAAGGCGACTCAGTGTTTCACACATTATATAATAGGTTCGATTTTTTTCCGGTTGCTCCTGCGTCGCGCAATAACTAGACGTCTTGGTCTAAGAACAATTACTTGTGAAATATCTGTTTATAGAATAGGAGAAATCGAGTAGGAAGTTTTCAATGATCTGCCAGGAAGATGCCAAACAAAACGTTCCAGCTGGAGGAAAGGGTAGACATGTTGAAAGAGACGGTTAAAGACGGATGAGGGAAGTAGTCAGCTTAGAGTACAGGTGATCAGCTGCGTACAAACACCGTGCTAGGTGCACCATGGTTAGATGAAATCCAAAGGTTTCATATGTAGGTGCACCAGCATATGTTTATAAGTGGAGCATGAATGAAACTCGCTAGACGAGCTGTTGTCCAGACTACTGTTTGCATGCACCTTCAGGAGAGAGCCTAGTGTGAAAACTGAATCACTCGCATGTTCGCCGCATTCCAAACGTATTGAGTTGCTCGCCAAGGACACCAACTGTCACGTTCAGTGCGTCTGCAAAATGGCGATAGAGTTCAATCCGTTTGGCAAGACGCTTATTCTCACTCTCGCATGTGTTCTCCATCGAGGCACCGATTGCTAGTACTGTGCGTCCAAACCCCCAGTTTTTATGTCGGCAAAGGTCACGGTAGATACTATTATGGGGAGAAGTCATTTCGTTGGGTTGAGTCATCCATAGCCAAAGGGCCGAAGAGAATCCAACGTATCCATCCCTGGCAATCTCATCTGGGTCATCCAGCAGTCTCTGTTGGTCCTTGAAAAAATACGCACTAAATGAACCGTAATTACCATTCCAGTTGAGCATTAAAGGTCCCCGACCGTAGTACATACGCCCAGGTGAAGGATAGTATTTTGAACCGATTAGAACCTGGGGCATTTTGTAGGTGTGTTCAGTCAACTTGAACCCGTCTGTCTCGTGTGCAACGCTGGCTAGGAATGCCGCCAGTTCACGTAATTTTTCCGCCTCCGTGCCGTGGTTCAAAAATCCATCCGGGTACACTTTCTCTGCAGCTTTGATGAAATTATCGTAAGAATAGTAGCCATCAGCTGCAACCAGCTGCTCCCATTTTTGCCGGCTGTAGGAAGAAGAGAAACAAAGGAGTGTGGATTATCTGACAGTCGAGCGTCAGATTCGATTGCTGAAAACTCTTCGACAGCCCATGACCGATTTCGCTCTTCTTGAGGCTCATCAGGTAGGCGCAGTCCCTGAGTTTCCATCAACCTTATGTTCTACTTGAAACCCAATTGGACTGTTTTCGAGAAATACACTAATTAAGATCAATTTGGTTTTGACGGGTGATTAAACCGAACCGCTTTTTTATGATATTCTCGGTGACAAGTTTCGTTTCAACATGATAGTTCACACACTGGCTCTTCTCAGTTAAGTTTGTCTCGGTTTTGATATTATCTGAAATAGTTCAAGTAAAAAATAAGGTTGACGGAAACTCGGAGACTGCGTCTATCTGATGGTCCAAAAGACGGGTAAAACAGGTGAAAAGAAAATCGTCCAGCTGTAGCACCCTTTCAGGGCCTAGCTGCCATGCCAAACGAGGGAGGTACGAGGGCTGGGATACTGCCAGGTCGCCCAAACCTAGACAGGGGAAGTCGAGTGGCAGAGGTCGGGCTCGAACCACGGACCTTCTGGTCAGTAAATTCGTGGTCGTACCAACTGGTCCATCAGGTGGTGGGCTGTCGAAGAATTTTCATCAACCCTACACATTCCTACTTGAAAGTATAGCAATACCTTTAAGGTTGCGCCAAGATATCTTTAGTTAGTGGTGTAGCAAGAAAAGGTCCCTCGATATCTCAAACCTTGTGGCGACTGAAACCTGAAGCGACCAATATGCAACACCCTTCGAAACGAGAAATCCATCAGGGTTCATCTGAGTGTCTCGTGAGCACCAACTCTAGTTTGAAGATTTTGTTGTAAAAATTTCAAGGCATGGTTTGTTCGTGAAAACCAAAAAAATCTGACCCAATACGGAATAACTGTCCAGCTTGACCACAAGACTGGACGGACGTGGTGATCGTCGTAAAGTGGTCGAGATCTCTGTGTAGTTAGAAACAACAAAAGAATACTTCCGAAAAAATCGTTTGGTGCCCAAATGCCATGCCACCAGAAGGAAGCACGAGGGCTGGGATACTGCCAGGTTGCCCAAGCCTAGACAAGGGAATAGAGATGCGGATGTCGGGTTCCAATCACGGACATTCTGGTCAGTAAATTCGCGTAACAAAGACTGGTAAGAGGTAATTTTTGCCTTCAGAATCTGTCGTTATTTTCTAAGACAGTGAAGTGGTTGTGCTGTCTTCAGAACTCCAACAGTAATTTGACCAGAATTTCTTCTACCCCAGAGTTTTTTCGCCTGGAGCTTTGCCGCATTCCCGGTAAATGGGATGGATGTCCAGCGAGGAGTTCCTTTTCATCTTTACTGTGGGTTCAAGGCCTCGATGTGACCAATCCAGGGACAGATGATAATTTATGCACCCATCAATGGAACCAAAATTGTTACGTCATTGTGAAAAGAAAGACATGTGGATGCTGGCAGTGCAACATGGCCGCCGCCTGCAACCACCAGGGGACCGGTGGTATGCGACCTGTGGAAATCTACCTAGGTCGACGTTGGTGCAGAACGATTGTTGCAAAACTTACAGAATGAGTTTGCCGTCTGCCTGGCTGACTCCGAGTAGCTGTACCACGGATTACTAGCACAGTGCTAGGATTTTCTATGGTCTTTGTCGGTAACTTATCGGACCAGTTGTGCTGACAGACTGGGACCTCTTCTGAGTGATCATTGCTGCTCTGTTGATGGCTGTTACTCACTTAGTCTCTAAATATCTACCGAACTATTCTACCATGATGCTCCCTTCATGGAGAACCCAAAAAGGAACCGCAAAGTACCGATAAACTCCCCCTTGAATGTCAAACAAAAGAAATCCAGCTGTAGCAAAGTAACTACTTGGTCCACCACGGAAATCAAATCACACACCCACAGAAGGCTTGTCATAATAAAACCCATTTCTAGGATCTTCCAAAGTTGGTCTCCATAAGGGATTGGCTGCAATAGTTTGTGTTAACTACAAACCAGCGAGTCGTAAAATTCGCAAGAACCACCTGCATGAGTGATGCCGGTTTCATAGTTATGTTAACTGGGTTCATATAAAATATACTAGAAAATTTAAGCCAGATGAAGGGGCCAAGTACCAGCCCAATTAAGAGAGTTCACCCCTCTCGATAGGTACTTTTAATCAACGAGGAAACAAAACGCGGAAATTTTCTGTTCTTTTGGCTAACGTGTAGGGTGGTCAACGTGCTGAGGGTCTTAATCTCTCACATCTACTGTTCACCACTTTCACTATCCTTTAAGAGTAGTCTGCATCACCTCAGTCTGGGCTTCAAAGCAATAGAAGCCGATGAACGATGGTGACGGTTCGGGGAGGTAAAGTTGACAACCAATGAACGGAAGGTTTTGGTCAAATGACAACTGGCTAAGACAGATCTCTCCAAAAAACTGGAGACTTGTAGGTTTTGGAAATTCTGGAATTCAGCTAAAGTTCTGGGGGTTAAACTTGAATAAAGTGAAATTTCGAGCAACTGGATATGGACCAGCTGCCTATGATTAACCCTGTCCGTCATCACCAACCAGTGTTTGTCGTATTCCTGCGATTCCCCTTGTTTTGAGTCCCGGAGTACCTTGATGTTATATATTTGCCTTTTTTTCAGCACACAATTATGGTAAAACTAACAACGGACTAGGTGTCGTTTTTCGAATCATTTACATGAACTTTCTAGTCTGACCTCTACATTTGAGTCAAAATTTGGGTGTAAATCTTCCGAGAACTTTAAAAGACTGTAAAGTCATTGATCTTCCTTAATTTACTGCAATAAAACATGCGCTGAATACACTAGTTTCTCCTACGTTGATATTGATGAACTCAGCGTGAACACGTACTTGACAAATGGTGACGTCTATGAGCGATTGTATTCCGGTTGGTTGAAAGATACTGAAGCTGGTTACCTTGTTCATTCTCACTGAGCTCACTCATTATGTTTATGGAACTGAAGTAAAGAAGGCAGCAGCATTCAGATTATCTTTGAATGATTTTTAGATGAAAATCGAACAGCCAATCAAACTATCGATTACTCGTCACTACGATATTGTGACATCTGGAAAACGAGACGGATCACAATCATTTGATCAATAACGTTTCATCGATCGCTGAACGAAGTGAGTTCGTATCAGAACGTGAACGAATTGTCCGGCTTCGGTTTGTGACCGTCTTAGTCACGTGCCCGTCGACTGACGAAGAAATCGTTCGTGCTGCCTCCATTGTCTGGGTAATAACTCCCGTAGTATCTAGTTCACTGAATTCAGGCAGTGCATTTGTAAATTTTTCACGGCAGCTGCGAATGAACTAGCAAGCTACTATGCATATGAAATATAAGTAATATGGGACGTTCGATCAGACTCTTCAGACAGCCCAATCCCTGCTTTGGGCTCACCAGGTATGCGAAATCCCTGGAGAATGAGAAAATCAATCCCTGACTTGAGCAGTCATTTGGTCGGACGGTTAATTCTGTGCTCATAAGTTTCGTGAAATTTCTAAGACTGGAAACTTGATGGATTGCCTCGTAGTCAGTAGCATTTAGATGTTCATCCGCGTAGTGTGCACAATCTGTAGAATATATTCAATGAAGTTACTTTTGACTCTGACATGAGTCATTGAGGTAGAGAGCCCACAGACATGCCAAAGGCTAAGAGAAATTCTCATACTTGGTTTTCACGAGAGACTCTACTGAATCTCTCGTTTATGATATTTTACCACTGAATGTGCTGCACACAGGCCGCCTCATGTTTCAGTTGGCACGATATTCGAGATATCACAATATATTTTCATGAAGGAATTTCCTACTCACAAGGTTTCTGAAAACTCTTCAACAGCTCACCACTGGTTTCGCCCTTCTTGGGGCTCGTTGGGTAGATGTTGTGTCCGCAGGGTGAGAAAACAACTTCCCGCGTTGAGCATATTGTTTGCTTTTGATCTCTCGGAATAGTATCAATATGCTATAACCCAAAGGAGACTCACTCAATCGCTTTTTCAGCTCCTACTACTTTATCATGTGTATGCGCTTAAAATTATAAATAAACCCAGGTGAATCTCTTGTTCATGATGTCTTAAAGTAACTGAATGTGCTGCACCAGGCCGCTTCATGTTTCAGTTAGTACGATATTCAAGATATCGCGATACATGTGTAGATGTAATACGCTGCTCATAAGGTCGCTGAAAATTCTTCGACAGTTCACGACCGGTTTCACCCTTCTTGGAGCTCATCAGGTAAGCGCAGACCTCGAGTTTCCGTCAAACTCAAGTTCTTCTTGAACGCAAATTGCACGAAATTACCTAAGTGCATTCAATTGCAAACAAATTTGTTTTTTGCGAGTGACTTACCTGAAGCCCAGCTGAATCTCTCGCTTGTGATGTTTCTAAGCAACTGAATGTGCTGCAAGGGCCACCTCATGTTTCAGTTAGTACGATATTCACGATATCGTGACACACTTTATGGACGCAGCGCACTACTCACAAGGTTGCTGAAAATTCCTCGACATAAACAAGAGGTTCAGCTGGGTTCGAGGTGAGTCACGCGCAAGGCCTAATTGGTTTACAAATTTGGTACAACTTAGATTTTAGTAGAACATAAGTGGGGACTGCGCCTACCTGATGAGCCCCAAAAAGGGCGAAACCAGTCGTGGGCTGTTGAAGAGTTTTCAGCAATCTTACGAGTAGCGTATTACGTCTTCAATCTTGTTAGTAGTTCAGGGCAGAAAGATCTCTTGATAAAGTTATCAACAGCCAATGCTTAGTTATGAGATTAAATGAAGCTGTGTGGTATAGGTAAGTTTAGAGACTGACTCAATTTGTTTGGAAAACAAAACGGAGTTAACCGTGGGAAAAATGTGACTTACCTTATGAGTTTACTGACCATGGGTAATCGAACACCGATCGTTCGTTTTCAGTTACGGACGGGGCGCCTATAAATGTGAAGACAGCAAAAAGCACGCACTTTCAGCTCATTCGAGTGTGATTGGTCAGCTCTCGATGGAGTCTGACACGGCCGCCCAATTCGGTTCACCACTGGCTGAGACAGCTAGCCAATCCACTTGTACGAGCACGAGTGAACAAGCGCATTCGAATCCTATGATCTACGTTCACATGAAATAAAAAAAAACTTTTGGATTGCGGAAACCGATGTGATAAAGTTAGAACCATCGCGCAAATCCTGTACTCAAAAACACTACGTGTTTTCTCCCCCTAATCAAAAAGTAAATTTTTGGGGTTAAACCACAATGAACAGGGCCATCATTTTCTAGTTAATCTCTTCAAATATGGCATTTTCCAATTTCAGGAAACAATGAACCTACATCAGAGGTGGCCCGTCGTTCTCTACCAGCCTATGGCTTCTCAAACTGCCTTCCATGACATCTCGGAGACTGATTTTTCGCTTGTTTTAGCGAAGTTACACTGTGTCCGCTGATTGGGGTCTTCCCTCTGCGATCCGGTGTTCGGTATGATCAGCGATTGGGGCTTCCTACCCGTATAAATAATTTTTTGCTATTTTCGAGCAGTTTTTCACTCTTGTTCGTTTTCAAGCAGCTGAGTAATTTACTTCATCCGGCGGTACTTGATGTTTAGCGTTTTGGACATCTCCAGGGACACAGAACTTTCCGAATAGATCGAACATTTGTTTTGGAGACACTGGACCAGAGGTAAACTGGATAAAGGAGGGCGAAATTCAAAACTATGAACCAGAAAGCACCTTTTGACTCGCAAGTGTTTTTGGTACGGTAAGTCACATTTCACCTGAAGCTAGTTGCGCCAAAAATCCACGCTGACCATCATTTAGCGGCACGCAGATGAGGTTTACTAGCATGTTCTTTGATGGATTTGGTTGAACCTGTTAAGGTTTTTGACGCTTGGTTCAGACCAAGGCAGGTTGGAAATCTGGTGTAATCTACCTTGCCAGTTACTACGCGTGCTCATTTGATAAGTGATATGATGGCCCACCGGAGTTTACTCTTGCGCAATTCCGTGCAGCGTCCTTGGTTTAGCCCACCTAAGCACAGTTGACCTGGGGTTGAATTTATAAAGATTTCCAACATATTTTGAGCAACTTGTAGGGTAAAAATGAAGAAAAACCCCAAGAAACGAACGCATTGTTAAGTTATCATCCAGCTGACAGCCATACTGACAGGTCAGTAAGGCTTAATTGGGAGTTAAAACGATCGGCATTCGTGATTTTATCATAATAAGCTGTGTGATGTTTAGAAATCTGACACTTTTCCCACTAACGGGACCACGCTGACACGTTTACAGTTTAACTCTATACACTCGCAGCAAAACATGACTCTCGCGTTGGTTGCCATTTGTTTGTGAAGTCCACGAAGAACCGCTTTGCCATAAGTATCTCTGTGGTTCCCTCATCCCACAGAGTTGTTTTCGGTTGTTTACTGGTGAGCACAGCGCTGTCCTTTGGTATGCACTTTGCACCCACAAAGTGTAAGGTCATGCCCGTGGACGTGCAGTTACTGAACACGCCACTTACAATCCAGGGAGAGGTACTGGAAGTTGTGGAGGGCTTTATGTATCTTGGAAGTTGTATTAGTCCTGATTGTAGTGTGACAAATGAGGTAAATGCACGAATCTGCTAGGCTCGGGCCGCGTTTGCTAACTTGAGACACTTATAGCGTCAGAATGGTTTATCCCTTAATCTGAAGGGACGTGTGTATCAAGCCATAGTACGGGCTGTTTTGTTGTATGGATGTGAGACTTGGCCTATTCGAGCAGTGGAACTGAGACGTCTTCAGGTGTTCGACAATCGTTGTCTCAGAACCATAGCTCGTGTGGGTTGGTGTCGGCGAATCCGTAACTAGGCAGTTAGAAAGCGTGTTTTCGGTTGTGTAACGGGTACTTCGATTGAAGAATGTGTCCAGCACCAGAAGCTGCGTTGGTTGGGAAGTGTGTTACGTATGCCGAACCATCGTTTGCCGAAGAGGGTACTGTTTCCATGCCCAATTCGGAGTGGCGTAAACAGAGAGGTGGCCAACCCTTGACTTGGCAGAAGAGTATGAAGGAGATCACGAAACGCTTGGGTGCTGTCGGTGCTACTCGCCTTCCAGGGTGGGGACCGCGTGATCCTCACTGTGACTGGTTATAGACACTACAAGATATAGCTGCCAACCGATGTCAGTGACGTTCTTGTTGTCAGTTTCTGTCCAGATTGCCTGAGTGAATGTCTGGAGGTGTAGGCACCTCGGAATGATTGTGTTAAGCTAGTACTAAGTCCCTCCCCCATCCACCTTTACTCTTTTCTTTACAATAAGTCTTTCAAATAAATCATGGTTGTATGGCAGTAAAGCATCGGTGTTGAACACTGATGTCATGCTGTCTATGATGACCTCTACTTTCTCTCTTCGAGGGTCTCGGAAGACCAAGGCTGCTATTGAAAAAGACCATTGGAATTTTAACCAGCCAGTGTGATATTTCTTTGAGATTCCTGTTGGTTTCGACCCACGTAACCGAGAGTTCACTGGTGTCTTACATCGGTCTACCGGCTAAATCAAATTTTCACATAGTGCGCACCATTGTAGAGAGCAGAAGGACACGGCTGTATGACTCAAATCTGAAAGTCTTATTGGGACTTCCTGTGGAACCCTGTGTTTTAACTTGAGCAACGGCTGTGTGAGGAAACTCGCCTTAGAAGGCAGAGCTGTTTACTGACAAAAAAATTAGTGGTTACATTCTATCGGAAAACAAAAGCAAAACCTCATTTTTGAAAAGCCAACGTCCTGAAGCGTTCTCCTGAGATATCCTAGACTTTATCTGGATGAACAAGTATTCTGAAAAGGTTCAACAATTTCCAACTCAATTTGCCATCAGATGCGTGCTTTAAAGTACATGACCGAACACAAGTTGTACTTGGAGTAGGTCGTTACAGTTCGACTAGGAATCTAAACAAACGATTACGGACAGCGTTTCGTAGAGAAATTTGAAGGTCGATCCTATGTCACATGCCACTGCAAGCGTGTAGCAATCTCGTTGTCCTGATAAAACGGAAAGCGTCGTAGTTGATACCAGATGACCAACATCATCTGAGTCAAGCTGTTCGAAGCAAAATTTTATTCAGGGTCACATGAAAAATAGACGTTGCCTCATTTAATGTGAACTTATCAAGATAACTTATCTAGGCAGGAAAGTTCGTTAGCTACTCACAGTTTCGTTGTCATATTGCTCTGAATCATGGCGAAGCCCGTGCTTCCGTACGCTGACGTACAAACTTAGCTGACTAATTTAGGAAATCTCGCACAGAAGCTAATCCAGTGACAGGAAAACAAAACATGGATGAACAATTTTCGCACTACCATTGAGAAACAGACGATGAACAAGGTCTTGTGGTGAGGTTATTTGAACAGCAGAAGGGCCCGCAGAAAAGGCTAGCCGGTTCTTTAAGACTCTATCTCTCAAGAGGAAAACCTGGGTTGAGGAAGCAAAGGCGTTCAACTGACCAAAGTCTGTAATGAAGCGCGATTCGGGCGTTCTGATAAATATCCCAGTTGAGTTGAAGTTTGGTCGAGGAGCGGTTGATGCAGCCGAGTAGGTGAAGCATCCTTTTCAGCGAAATATCCACCAAACTGTTTACGGACCGATAGGAGCCAAAGTTATATCACACCCGGTGTGCTAATGAAAGGAAGAAGGCCTTCGCTGTGGAGTTATTTATTAGAAAATGCCGGTTACAGACTATTGGACAGGGAAGCAAAACTCTCATTTGCATCTTATTTACAAAAACTGGACATCAATCCTCTCTTGAACGCGTCTTCCTGAATTTTCCTGGGTATTCATTGACTCCAATCATTCATCACTCAAATCCAAGCAAATGTTACAAAGCGACTCCACAAATTCCACAACAGATCTCCCCTTTTCAAGAGACGCAAACCGAAACTCCACGAATAACTCATACTACTCGCGTGCCTCCCCATCAGAAGTATCACCGTTACGCTAGTAGGCAGCATGACAGTATCGCAACGACAAATCATTGGCACTACCGTTGATAAACAGACGCTGATTAATGCTCTATGTGTTTTCGCTCTTCACACTGCTACCTTTCCAGATTACTACCCACATTTCCTATTTTATCTCTACCGAATACAAAAGAGGAGGCTTCAGTTGGCACTGATCATACTGTTCATTTTTGCGTTTCATTCTTACAGAAAGCCCGCGCGAATTTTTGGAAATTCAGAGGATGTTTTGTATGGTTTGGCACTGCTGCTTCTGGTTGCCACATCCGGTGGGTGGACTTTCTTAAACTACACCATTACTTTTAGGCGTTTGTTTGTGGTTGGTACAATTTCGACAACTGCTCATTCGAATTCGAAATTGGTCCGCCGTTCTTAATCAAAATGGTCTAAGGGTTTATCATTTCTGTAGCTACATCCCCCCAGCGAAACATGAGTTGAAATCACTACTCAAATGTCGTACTGCTTTACTGGACAGAGAAACTGATGGTGAATGAGTTTCTGCAACATATTTGTTCAAGTTATGTTTAAGAAACCTTTGTGATTGTGCGAAGAGAACTTTCTGGCGGCTCACCACAATTCCTGAACATTTTGTGTAATCGTGTAAACTTTACTGTGAATTTTAAAACGTGAACTGTTCATTTAGCTTCCTGGGTGGTCCTATTAGAGCCAACGAATCCTATTTTGATGTGAATTAGTGTCGTAAACTGTCTCGTTCTGGATGATACATAGATTACTTTCCGTGTCGACATCAAACGAACTTTGTGCTCTGATAAATGGGGCTCAAATGACGTTCTGATAAAGTCTAAAAGATTTATAATGTTAAGGATATATCGTATAGGAACACCTATCCAGTATCTTAGTTGGTCGATATATATATATATCGGAGCATTCTGGCGGCAATAGCACAACGAAAAGCCTACGTGTGCTTCCTCTCGGTTGCAAACAAAGTC